GTTAGGAGTAGAGCGAAAAAGATGTGCTTTGTGTTTGGCAATAGTAAGATATTTGCCAAGAATTGTATTGCATATAGAAAGAGGAATAACAATATTATGAATTCGGTATTTAATAGTAGGGGTAATGACAGTATTAATGATATAAATAATTTGTTTGTCAGTAATGTTTTTGGTACTAGCAATGTTGGCTAAGCTAATAGCTTTATCTTGAATAAGTTTGATTTGAGAGGTATGTTTGTTGTTAAGAGTAAACCAATATCCTAAAAATTTAAAAGGCTAGGAGAGTAGAATAGATTGGAGGTTGGAGTTAAGAAATGAGAAGTTTAATAAGGTTTGGTTTATAATAAATATTGATTTTGTAGGGTGTAAGAATATTGTAGTAATAAATAAATATGTAATTGAATTAATTACTTATTATGCTAATGTTGTTGTATCCTATTTTTTGATAATATATTGTGTTATTCAATTATTTAATAATTAGAGGATCTATGATTGATACTTTGATATTACATATAATATAAAAATGATATTATGTAGTTATTATTGGCTGATTAAGTATAATCATCATTATGGCTTTAACTTTTAATACAAATTAGTAAGAAAAATAAAAAAAAGATTCATATAGTGGTTTTTGAATAATATTGATAGAAGTAAAATTTAAAATTGGGTTAATAAAGTGAGAAATATAGAAGCAAATTGATTTTTTTATATAAAGCATATGCTGCTATTAAAGATTATGATAGATAAAGGTATAATATTAACCAAAAATCAAATATATATCAGCATTAATATGTTATGATGAAATAATTAATACAGAATTAATTAAAAAGTTAGATATAGTATGAAAAAGTTTGATAGACAGTGATATAATTGTGATGTAAATATGATTTAATATAAAGTTAAAAAAGCAAGAATAGATCTTTCACTCAAATAAAATACATACAGTATATCATACAATAAATAATTAATAACTAAATACATACATACTAAATAAAATATATAAAAGTCATATGAAGAACTTTATTATAGCGAGAACAAGAAAAACACATATAAGGCAATACAAAAAAAGAATCTTTCAGAGTATTCTGATATAGAAAAAAGTACCGTATCATATTTGTCACATGTTATTAATAATTGTAACATTAATAATAGTTATTAATAAATTTTTTCTTTATATACTAAAAAAAAAAAAAGAAAGGAGAGATGAAGGCTTTAAAAAATCAACTATAATTATATAAATCATAGACAGGTCTAAGCAATATTAAAAGCCTTTTAATTGCAGACTAGTATGTAACTTAATACTACTTCGAGGAATAGCTATGTATAATTTAAATAATACAACCTATAATGAAACAATGACAAATGGTTTAAATAACAACTGTGATAATAATCAATCATGGTGGAAATCACTTTTGAGTATGAGTAATGGTGGTAAAATACAAGTCTACACTCCTAGATAGAGACAACTATGTTTAATATGCAGTGCATAGCTTCTTCCAACAGAAAGATAAGAATTTTGTTGTAATTCTAAAATAAGAAATCTAATATCATCATTACCTCAATTACTACTTGTTTTACAGAATCTTTATGCTAATAATAAAAATTTTAGCTAAGTTGTTAATATAATTCTCTTTTTTCATTTTTGATACTTGGTTACATAGGTAGTGTGATATGCCTACCTCATCTTTATGCTTTTGTAATCAACAGTCATTCTTATTATCAGATTCATTTTGCTAATACTAAGGGCTATTTGGTGAATTGGTTTGTATATGATACAAATGCACAGGATTATATAGCAGAACAATATAAACTTGACAAGAATATTGTTGATTTAATTGAACAAGAATTAGCAATTGTTAACCAGTTTGTTCAAGGTTTATATCAATTACATGATGCTGAATATTCTCAAGCCGATTGGTGGTTTAATAAGTAATGGCTAACATTGAAATTGCAGCTTGTATTATTATTTATTTGATAGCTATAGTACAAGAAAGATGTGTGTGCAAATCTGGCATATTATTGAAGATAAACCTGACTATATTAACATTCTAAATAAATATTACAAGGTTTTACAATATTTATTTTTCTTTCTTTATGATGAAGTTGGTTGGCATATATACTAGATGAACAATCATACTTCTATTATGCAAAAAATTTTACAAGTTGATTATTATTATTATAGGATTATGACAGAATCACAGTTTCACTTACTTGGACAATTATTTAATAAATATTTGGTGGATATGTTTAGTTAAACAAAGACAAATAATTACAATTCATACGTAAAGAACAGCATTGATTTAGAAAAGGAGGGCAAAATAAAGATGAGTCACTTGGTGAAGAAGCAGAGATGCATTTAGAATGTACTTATTTACCTGTATCACATACTTTCTCATTTAGGTAGTTCTATAAAAAAATATTAGATACTCTTGCAATTGCAAATAAATTAGAAAAACCAACTTTGTTTATTACTTTTACTACAAATCTGAATTGGCTAGAGATTCAACAGCAATTACATAAAGGTCAAAACTATGCAGATTGATCTGATATTGTAGTTCAAGTATTTAAACAATAATTATTATATTTATGCAAATTGCTTAAAATATATTTTGGCAAAATCATATATTATATACACGCAATTAAGTTTTAGAAGTGTGGTTTACCACACGCGTATATAGTAATTAAATTAACTTCCAACTTGATACGAATAAAAGATATTGATAAAGTAGTAAGTGCTGAATTACCTAGAAGTGATAGCTATCAACAAAAACATCTTCGTGAATTAGTAGAATAGTTTATGATTCACTAATATACTCAGAGGTAAGTGTATCAGAATAAGAGATGTCATTAGAATTATCCTAAATCTATTCAAGAAAATATAATAGTTAATGAACTAGATCATATTTACTATAAATATCACACAGAACATGATATTAATATCATGCCATATAATGCTTTTTTGTTATTTAAATTAAACTCACATATAAATATTAAGGTAGCTTTTACTTCACATATTATCTTATACTTATACAAATATATTTACAAAGTACCAGATTATGCTATGGTTAACATTAATATAAAAGAAAATAATAAATCTAAAGCAATTAATGAGATTAAAGATTATCTTAATGTGTGTTATCTCTCTGCTATAGAAGCAGTTTTGTGCATATTTAAATATCAAATAATATCACAAACTCTATTAGTAATATGTTTACCAATATATTTATCTAAAGAACAAATAATTCTACATGGAAATAGTAATAACAGCCTTTTACTATTACAATGTTACTTTTTACGTCTACCAAATACAGTGTTTGAAGAACTTACTTATTGCAAATACAATGAGCTATATAAAAAATTTGATTGATTAGTTTTTTACCACTAGAAACTTATTTGGAGAAAAGGTTAGAAGGATATTGCTAATGTATTATTAAACTATATAAGCAAGATTACATCTATATAATACAAATAAATATAATATGCCCATGTGTGGGTAAAAAATATTACTTGTGTATTTTTTTAAATCATTGTTCAGCTTGGTCATTTGAAAAATTACGAACAGTAATAACAGTAATAAATTAAACTCTTCCCGTAGATCACTTAACCAAATTAGGAACAAGAAGAAAAAACTTTCCCGTGACAATATCTCAAGATTTT